GGGAGATGGGCGGTTGAAAAATTAAATAAATAAATAAATAAATAAATAAATAAATAAATAAATAAGACTCAATAGCTAGTACACAATAGCTGGAGTGTAAAAACATAAGAGTTCTGCTGAATTAGACCATAACATCCATTATTTTTCTTTCATGGTGGCACAGTCATATACAGTATTCTGGGGGGAAAAAACATGTATGGTTGGAAGTCTAACAGAAATGGTTGCAAATCCTACAGTGTTTTTAATAGCTACTGAGAGATCTAAAATCCATAAAGTTGCCTGATCCCCTTTTATAATTTTTAATGGCCATTGCCTTATCTTGTGCTAGCGAAGCCCATAAATTAAATGCATGCTGTGATAAAGTACTTTCCTTCTCTGACCTGAAATTGCAACCAAGCAATGCACAGGACAGTCCTTAGTTCTAATACTACGAAACAGGAAGATTTTTTAGAGTATTATGGAAATCCAGGTTCAAACAAGTTCAAGGATTGGGCAAATCATTATGATTAAGACTTACTTGCCTCAACAGGATAGCTCAGGCTAAAAACACTTCTTTGAGCCCCTTGGAAGAATGCTGGGGTATAAATGAAATAAATAAAATGTAAGTACCACTTATCTTCTTTTCAGGTATATAAATAAAAGAGGGGTTTCAAGGAAAGGCTGAAGAGAGAGAAAGAAATCCACAGTCATTACATAGTTTTAATTTACTTACCACAAGTCCTAGCACAAGGGTACGCACTCTCTCCCCAATCTCTGGTGAAATGTCATTGCCAAACTGCTGTAAGGTTGTAAGGAATCTCTTCAGTTTGCTAAGCTGCCTAGCTCCACAAGCTGGTGGTAGCTGCTGATTAGCCAAAGACGATGATGAGGAGGAGGATGGGCCGTTGCTAAAGCCATTTGGTGGAGAAGGAGCCCCATTCAAAGCTGTTGGCGAATGGCTTGTGCCATTAGTTACTAAAAAAGGAAAGAATACAGAGAAAGACATACTTTCAGAGCTTTTTCAGCTTAAAATTTCCCTATTTTAGAACATTTTTGAAGGCAGTACCTAGTACAAATAAATGATGATGAAATGCAATGGTTTAAAGCAATTCAGTAACTTCTTGTTTTCTTAAATAGTAAAGAGAGTGTAGCTAAATTGCAGTAAATGTTTTAGATTTCAAGGAAGCATTGGGCAATAGCTCTCTTTTATTAGATTCTCAGAAGCAGGCCTGTGGATTCTTTGTAATGATTACTAGAAAGTTCTCTATCCTGCTTGACTTTAATTTAAAAGGATTAGATGCAAAACCACATCCATCATAGTCGACATTTTGCAAATGATCAATCCCAGCTATTTTTTGAGAGTTCCTCCAACATGCTTTCAAAATTCCAAAGGAATCTGTTGCTCTTTCTCTGGCCTAACATTATTCTAACCATAAAAAAGAGAACAATATATTGAATGACTGTATGTGTGTATGTATATATGTGTGTGTGTGTGTGTGTGTGTGTATGTGTATATCACATTTTAAACAGGATGTAAATATACAGCTTCCCATTGTCTTTCAGAATGAACTTCTAAAACCTTGCATGTACATAATTTTGCATTTACAATTGTTGGCTTCGATGTGATACATTTTATGGAATGAAAACCTGATTATCAGAGTAAGCATTGTGTTGAAATGTACACATATATCTATGTATTCATTAGATTTAGATCTGAACTTTCTTCAAGGAGATCAAGATGGCATACCTAGGACACCCTTCCCAATTTTTCTCAAAACAACATCCTTATGGAGTTTATCCAAAAGGACTTTTAGTACCAATAATTACTGTTTGCATAATGTTGCAATCTTGTGGGTTTAAAATAAGGAACCCAGCACATTCCCCTAAAATTGTGACTCAAAACTTGTATGTTTTTCATTTCCTCTCTCGGCTTCTGTGAGAAAGAGTAAAAGAGAAAGGCTGTCTTTCTTTGAACTGCATTGGCTCCTTCAATTCCCAATTGTGTTGATTGTATGGCTCTAAGCATAAAAGCCTTGCTCCTGTACATGTTACATTATGTAAAGCATGCAAGTTTTCAAAAATCTGCTTCATTCCTTAGCATGACTTGACTGGGCAATTTTTAGAGGATGACTCTTTTTTATAACGACTTCTTTCTTATAATGAAATATTCCAGACTGAGAGGGTGAAGGGGATTTGAGGAACTCAAACCCAGGTGAACAAGACTGTAAAGGTTGGGCTCTTTATAGAGCAACAATATCATGAAGCAAAATTCTGTGATTATAAGTTCATTTCAGGAAGTACCTGAAAAAAGAAAAAGTATCCATCACAAGCCCAGTCTTATCATAACCACACCGGACTTTTGGAAGGTTACAAAAAGGTAAAACAGATTCATTGGTGACCTTACACTTTTTTTTTTTTAAGCACCTTCACAGATGAGACACTGGATTACCTGGACTTGGCTTGTGGCTAGCAATTTTATTTTTTCCAATAGATTGTGTGTGTGTGTGTGTGCGCGCGCGCGTGTGTGCATGCGCAACCCCCCCATCTAATCTGAAAGGACTCATGCTGCATATTTTTTTTTAATATCTCTACTTTTCTGTGGTGATAACAATACCTTTCAGTCTTTAAATAATCTCTTCTTAATATAGGGAAATGTAAGGAAGTACAGCTTGATTTTTTTTTTTTTCTGGCAGTGGTCCTATCTGAGCAAGCATACAGATGTTACTTATCACAATATACTCTAAGAATAGGGATAAAACCAGACAGCTGCTGACAGTGCAGAAACAATGCTCCTAAGAATAGAACAAGAAAAACAGAAATATATAATAGCATCTCTGTCATTATGTGGTTATAGAAGATGAGTTACAATTATTATGAACTGAGGCGCTACTTCCCAATATAAATAGCTGTCAAGGTGCCTTTAAAATTGGGTGAGCTTTAAATCTACCACAATCAGCTGGATAGACATACCAATGTAGTAAATTGGAAATGGCCCATTTGGTTGTCAAAAAAGTTCATTTTTGTCTCTATCAGTGTCAACTCTTATTCAGAATGTTACAACACAAACAAACAATAGTCTTCATTATTGAGCTAGAAAGCAGGGATAAGCAATGCTTTGAATAGGGTAGTGGAGAATTAGTAATTTAAATAATGTTATGAAACTTGATTTTAGAAAGACAGATTTGTGTCTCGTTATCCAAAATGATAGCATGAAGAAAAATCAAGAAGTCTGAACTTGGACCACAGGAAGAAGAAAGTGAGAATTGTTTCAAAGCAGATTAATATTATTACATGTGAATGAGTCTCTGAGCTGAAGAATTATTAATATATTTAAAACTATTATTAATCTTTCCTCTTCTGAATTTTGCTGCAGTTTAACTTTTTCTATCACAAGCATGTATAGCACAAAAGTATAATTACATGTCGTGGGTGTGAAAGAACTGGTTCTTGGGGCTCCTTGGGTAGTTGGGGGAGGAGGCATTGTTGGAGGTGTCAGCCTGGATTGCGTCTTCACATCCACAGGTGAATCTGGCATTGTGGAATGCTTCTCAATGCGATCTGTAATAGATAAAAAGTTTATTTTGTCAAATATGTAATGGAAAAAAAAAACTGCAGCAAAAATATCAACTATACAAATATAGCATTTTTCAGTTCTTAAATGTACAAACGTAATTTAGGATTGGGTAACCTTTTTAAATTTAAGAATCTTTTTATTATTATTATTATTATTGAAAGCAAACTAGAATGTGTGATAGCATTATTCTTGGCTCTTCTTTAATTGAGTTCAGGGGGTGCTGGAGCTGGACACATGATGGCTAGTATAAAGAGATTATAGCATTAACAAGAAGACTATCAATAACAAAGTGATAGTGAGAAATTCTGGTATTATGATTATTTGATGAAGATCAGCTCATAACACCTTAATACTTGATGTTTGCTCTATTTTATTTTTCTGGCACTGCCATTCTATGCCCAAATACTGTAAATAATCCCATGGAAATTAGAATGATCTAGTTCTTGGTAAGTAGAATTTGGATTGTACACACAGGGGTATATCCCAGAAAATGTGGCCTAGCAAAAACCAGTTTTCCCTATGGATTGCATTTAACAAAAAGTTTGTGATTTGGCTTGATACAACTATCCTCACCCTTGCTTGAGCAGAAGGGTCTTCCAATACCAAAAACCCACCACTGAATACCATCAATACAGTTTAACTATGTCCCTTTACTCAAACGTATTTCCTAACAAAGCAGCAGCAATACTGTCAAGTTAATAAATTTAAGATACATCCTGATTAAATACTCCTGGTCATATATCTCGTAAGCTGGTCATGAAGACATTTTATATGACATATAAGGATGTACTTTAAGGTACAACATAAATTAATTTTAAAAGTCACTTACAAAACTGGAAACTTCTCTGATTCCTGAATATAGCTCACAATTTTTCTCATGATATTACTAGGTTAAGTGACCTAACAAGATTGTTTTTTCCTATACCTTTTTTCCTTATACACTTAGTCCATGTGCACTGCAAGAGACCTAGTAGCTGTAAGACCCGAGTAAGATGAAAGCATTTAAAAATCACCACATATAACTTTAATAACATGATTAATATTCCAGATAAAGTCTGGAAATTAACTGTGTGATTTACTCTTAAATATGGTGGATTGTATGGATGTCTTGTAGTTTCTGAATTGTCAAAGATGTGATTTGACATTTGAAACTGTCTGAGAAGGTTGTCTAGTCAGGGATGATGTTACATGCTTTGCAATCTTACTGGTATAAAAGTGCTACGTTTTGTGAGGTATGGTTGGGGAAATACTATATCAGGTTATCTCTGTTGATAGAGAAAAATTAGTAAACATAATTTGCCATTTAGACTTTAAAGATCAAACTATTAAAGCAGTTTATTAGAAATGTCTATGGAAGTAAAAAAGTAAAATTGTTATTGTTGCATATTTTTCTCCTTCACACCCCAATAAATGGCTATATTTATGGTTCCTTAGCCACTTCCTTGGCAGAAGATACAATATTAAGATGATGCTGAATTTAATAGCATTGAATTATAAGCCTATGTAAGAAGTCGAATCATTAAACGACATTGACTGAAATACAAACACTTAAATAAATATAGCCAAATTCAGTTTGATTTCCTGTATGGTTTACTTCACAGTTCACAATGGGTAAAACAAATTAAAAAAAAAACCCTTCTTTAAACATTTGTTTTTAAAAAATCAAAGGCTTGAGAAGACAAGATTGGTGAGAAAAACATTAAACATTTCTGGATGGCATCCAAAACAATTAATTCCAATGCAGACCCCACAGAAATGAGTGGGAACTACATGAAAACGTCCTCATGTCTGAATTTGTCACTTGCAAGAAAGAAACTGCAATCTGTAGAAAACTCTGCCTCCTCCATGTTGTAATTTCAATTCAATATGTTCTACAAAGATAATCAAGCATTTTTAAAAAATTTCTTTTAAGGAAAATAGAGATTTATAATGGAAAGTAAAGAGTGGGAACCATCATTTCATTATCAGAACTTAACAGTTGTTATAAAATTAAAACTAAAAAGTAAACCACTTGCAAATTGTGGGACTAAATATTAAGACATCTACAAATATGGGTGAAGATGAGTGTTGTAAACAAAGCGATGTTCCCTAGAAAAATCACTTGGCTTATACTGAGATCAAATATTTAACAGGCAAGATAAGTAAACTTAAAAGAAAGGGAGCAAGTTTGAAAATGTTAATTGTTTGTTGCACTCACCTACAGCCTCAGCAGCGAGGAAATAAATAGTATTTAGCTTACAATGCAACAGAGGAAAAGAGGCATGGAAGGGAATACAGGCTGTCCTAAATAAAGGCAGATATTTCTGCCATGCCAAGAAAGGAGAGAGAAGAGAGACTTGCCAGAGCTGGCCAGAAGATAACATTGGCAACTGCTGGCCCATCTGTTTTGCATTCTGCTAACACTCATGCTGAAGTGTTGGAGAATGTATTCCAGGTACACAGATCTGAAAACATGTGTGAGCCTGGACGTGAACAGAGAGGGAGCAATATACGGAGGAAGGAAAGTAAGTTATATTCCAGTTGTGAAAAAGGTAATCACAAGGTATCCCTCCAATTCAATTCCTGAGAGCTGAAAAAGTAATTTCTCTCTCCCTACAACACAATGACAATATATTGCTTCCCATTTTAGAGTTCAGTTGAAAAAATGGGTTGACATCAGGGGAGGGAGGGAGGGAGGGAGGGAGGGAGGAAGGAAGGAAGGAAGGAAGGAAGGAAGGAAGGAAGGAGTGGGTGGCTTGAATGACTGTACAATCCTCAAGGCAAAGACCCCATTTATTATTCAAGTAGACACTACAGTACACTATTCTGATACATTATTTGCTTCATAAGGCTATATCCAATATTATAGAAGCAGTCTTCTATTAATATAATGAGAGTTGTATTTTCCAACTCCCTGCAATTACCTTCCACTTACCATGTTATCTCCATGCAACTTAACCCTTCAGAGAAGATTGGGCAAGGGATAGGACTGTAAATCAGTTGGTTAGCAGTCTGTTGTGTTGGTGAACACAACACTATTTCATACAACCCATATGATGCTACTTCATACAACCCATTATTTTTTAAGCTGTAAACTACTTTCCGATATTTTTGAAATTAATTTAAATTAATTTGAAATAATTATTGTGTATGCATTAATAATACAACTTTATAACCTATTTCCATAATTAGTTTTATTTGAGAATCACAAGAATTTTTAGCAGATTTGGTATAAACTTCTGTTCCCATGGTTTCAAAGAAATCCTTCAGCTGTTGGAGTGGGGTTGGGGAATCATACAAAAGAAGACTTCATAATTTGGATACTGTATCTCTGATTCCTTGTAAATGTGTAAAACTGGCAGAATTAAGTAAATGCCATTCTAAAATCTTAAGCACTATAACTATATACTGCATTGGATGTTTAAAAAGAGTACTTTTTGAAATCTTCATCATTCATTGGCCATGATTATATGAATTATTTTTGAACAGAGAACTAGATGTGCAATGTATCATAATGGAATTTTATGTATAATATCAAAAGCAACCACAGAAACTGAGAGTTATGTTAGATAGTGTTATTAATTTTTTAAATCTAACTTTGATTTTGAAACAAAGCAGGAGGAGAAAGGATTATAAATTTGCAAAAGGTAGCCTTATGTTTTCCAAACATATCATTAATAACAGAAAAAAACAACAACTCTGAAGAAGTAGAACCTAGCTGGCAAAGGTGGTCAGAATGTCCATATTTTGATCTAGTAATTAGAGCATCTAGTTATATCTGGATATGAAAGAATAAGCTTACTACCACTAAATAAATTCAGCTTTAGTTCACCCGAGAGGTCAATGGGGCAGAGAAAAGGAGTGGGGTGAAGCAGGAGTCAGCTCACATAGCTCCATCCCACTTTATCCCAAACCTGTCCTCTACCTCACCTGTCAATTGGGCTACTTTTCAACACAGATTTATCTTTCCCTCATCACTTAGACCAGAAAGGAAAACTGGTAGAAATCAACAATTTCATTCCAATACAACAAATAGCTCGAATTGGTTAAGTCCTGCAAGGGAATGGCAATGAGTAGCCAGAGCACTTGGGAGGATCCCATACCAAATAGTGCCACTTCTCAAAATAACAAAAGCAGGAGTAACAGGTGGCCATACTAAACTTTTTGTTTGTAGAAGCAGCAGAAACCCCATAATCCATTCATTTGGAACAGAATAAGCAGAATGTTTCTTTCTTGGTTTAAATGGCTTGGCAGCCTTCCCCCACCCCCCAGATAGGTCTACCAATCTTCTGAAATAAGCTGAACAAGTTTGTAAGAACAGGTTATCAAACGGAATAAGAACAGGTGCTGCTACTTTAAAATGGATGAATTTAGGCTTCCTCCCTAGGGGTGAGAATAAGGTTGGGTTATGAGTACATCTCCTCTAAAAAGTATTAGTGGGAAATCTTCATGATACGTTAGTGGGATTAAGGATGAGCCTCATGTGATCTTACTGTTGTTTATTTCATAAGACTTCTGAAACGTTCTGTCCTTTTAAGGTTTTACTTTCTGTAATATTATTTGCATGGACATAGTTTTTCATTATTGCTCAGGAGCTGTAGCATGAAGAAAGGAAAAAGCTGCATATTGCCAAGTCAACAACACTCTAATTTCACCTGTGTAATGACAGATGATCCAATTAATCGTATGAACTTTTCAGGCTGAGTCACAGCTTCCCCATAGCTTTATTGATCTTCCATAAATGTCTTCTTCTCCCACTACTGAAGCACACTACTCAGGCACAAAAGAATCTACCCACCAATGACATACATGAGTGAAATCACCACAGACCCAGCCTAGGTAAACAGTCCTCATAAAGATGCCTTTAAAAGAATTCAGTATTTACAAAAAAATAGCTTAGAATGTGATTTTAGTTTGCCTCTTCATTCTCAACTGGTCTGGGATCCAGTTGTGGATCAGAGCCTGCCAGATGGCTATACTGATTGAACCATGACTTTCATTTGCC